AAATTTAACATTTCAAGTGGTGTTGGTATTAAAAACTAGTAACTGATATATATACAATTTGACATCACAGAACATTTAATAGTAAATCCTCTGACTGAAGTACAGAAGGATGTCTTAATGTCTATGAGATCAAAATAAATTTTGAACTTGGTTCTGAGTGTGAATTTTAAAAGTTTGTGTATGTCTGCATCAGTTTCTAGTATGTCATGACATCATGGTATTACTGTATGTTGTGTAATTTTGAGCTTCTCTTAGTTTGGTGGGTCAATTTTTTTTTTAGTGTTTGTGGTCTTGAATTCCATTTGGCTCTGATCTGTCAAACACGTTTTACATGCCATCATGTTTCTTTAAAGACTTTCTAGAACTAATATTCACAACAGTATAATTATATATGTGCAGCATTTGGTTTTTACTTTAAATGGGGTGGCCACAATTGTGACTAAATCTTGAAATGTCGGGAGACTTCAAAGTCGGGTAAAATTGTAGTGCTTCCCTCTTTTATCTTTGATTATGCACACAAACCTATTTTACCATAACCTTGGTCAGCACTCTATGTATTGATAATTGTGTATATAATTATTTTTAATGATTGGTCATATTAAATATTCTTTTATAAATAAAATTAGAACATTTTATTGTCTATCATCAAGTTTCAATGTCCTTGGATCTTTTTCTGAAGTATTGAAGCACAAAGTATGTCCTGAAGTGTTTACCTATTATAATGTAACTACTAGTCAAAATGGTGTTAATTAGAAGTATTGAAAGTTAAATAATGTTGTATGCATGTGCAGGTCTGGAAAAATATGAATTTTAGAATGTGGCCATTCTGTTAGTGAGAATGCTACATTATACCATCTTAAGATTTTGAACATATAAAAAAAAAAGTGATTTATTCCCATAGTAACAAACATGAACCATTTGATAACTTAGAAACAAATTCAGATTTTGTGTTTAAAGTTTTTAGACAGTAAGTTTAACTTTAAGATATAAAGCATGATGTCCTGTTCTGCAACCAACAGCATAATTTGGTAACCTAGTGGTTTTCATAGTTTTAATGATTCCGCAATGATGGTTTTCCTGTTAATGATGCTGGAAAGTAAACACCATAGTTCTATCCTCCCTCTAGTTTATATTATAGACTTGAGGGCCGGAAAATACTCTGGGACACAAAAATTATCTATTTGTTGTAGTGAACACAAAGTAGTAATTATAGAAGTTTTCAACTTTATTTTTTAAAGACTTAGTTAACTTAACTTCTAACTCTTGGATTTTGTTTCAGGTGAAAGGACATCCCCATGTAGTGGCTTCCGTCATTAGTACTGTATATCGACACCTCACAGATTCTATTGAAAAACTCCCAGTGTGTCATAGGTGAGCACAAATATATTATTGTATTCATCCAATATTTTTAAAGCTGTTATTATCACAGTATATTAAATATCATTGTTATGATGTGTTTATTGAGATTGTGTACAATATTATGCTGTTTAATTAATACTATTGAAAGTTAAATGATATTGTTGTTGTATGCATGTGCAGGTCTAGAGAATATGAATTTTAAAATGTGGTTATTCTGTAAAAGCAAGAATGCTACATTATACCATCTTATTCCCATAGTAACAAACATGAACCATTTGATAACTTAGAGACAAATTCAGATTTGGTGTTTATTTTAAAGTTTTTAGACAGTAAGTTTAAGAGTAACAGATGTCCTGTTCTGGAACCAACAGCATAATGTGGTAACCTAGTGGTTTTCATAGTTCTATCCTCCCTCTTGTTAGTTATAGACTTGAGGGCCGGAAAGTACTCTGGGACACAAAAAAATTATTTCTGTGATATACATTAACATAATCTTGTCGAAACGTTGTACATTTATAAGAAAGTTTTCTTCATTGCCCATTCAAGGCATCTTCAAACTTTTATTTAATGAGTTGAACAGTTGAAAGCTATTTTGTTTATGTTAACAGCTATATTCTGCAACTCATCACTGTCTAGCTGTTAGATTGAACATCCTTTGTACAAACAAGATAACCTACTTATTTTACTGAATTGAAATTATGGAAATAACCACTTTTATGTAGAAGAAAAATGCTATTTTCGAGGTTGGTGATTAAAATATGATATAGAGTATGTCTTCTCTTCATGTTTGACCTATTTGTTTTTTTATTTTTTTTTCACACCTGATTATCCCTGGTGGTTTAAGTAATTTTTTAAGGTTTTATTTAGTCAGAAAATGTACAAAACAAACGTAATTTTAGTCATTGTTCTGAATTTATTTCCTTCTGGTAGACTTATAGTTTTAGCATAATTTTATAAAGTATATGAACACAGTTTTGTAAGTCAAACCATTTCCCAGTTTCTTGAATACAATATTTTGTTTAAGACTGATGGTTAATACCAAATTTTTTATAAATTTGCATGTGTAACTGTGTTTAGCCATCTGGTTACTATTCTGATAGTTTTGTTTGTTTTTCAGGTTATTGGATGGTAGGATATGGTGTGTGTGCATGAAGAGATGATACTCAGGTTTGTTTCATGATGTTCTGAACTTCTGTCTCCATAATTTATGTTCTCTATGATTGTAGATGTATCTATGGTAGATATTATTACATGTTAGGTAAACTTCTGCCCTCTAGGGAGTTAGATAATTTAACTTCGGGTTCTTTACGAATTATGTTGCTTACATTTATTATTTATAGGGAGTTGTTAGATAATTTAACCTCTGGTTCTTTACAGAATTATGTTACTTACATTTATTATTTATAGGGAGTTGTTAGATAATTTAACCTCTGGTTCTTTACAGAATTATGTTACTTACATTTATTATTTATAGGGAGTTGTTAGATAATTTAACCTCTGGTTCTTTACGAATTATGTTGCTTACATTTATTATTTATAAGGAGTTGTTAGATAATTTAACCTCTGGTTCTTTACAGAATTATGTTGTTTACATTTATTATTCATAGGGAGTTGTTAGAATAAAAACTAAAATATTGTACATGTACAACAGAAGATAAAAAACAAATTGGTTTTAAAACGAGGAATTATCTCCAGAAAGATTCTGGTCATCTTTCCATTGCAACAGTACTGTTGAACATAAGTTATTTGAACCATTTCATAAATACAAAATACCCTCAACTTAGTGATAAGTGTACAAGATTTGCTGAAGCTGTAAGCAAGCAACTCAATAAATCAAACTTGATTCCTACCATAAAATTAAGTTTTGTGTAGAAAACATTTGGATTATCTAAATTTGCTGCTCAGTGTTTCATGGTAGTATTATCATGTACACCATGGTAAAAATACCTAAACTTAAGATTTAGGTATTATATGGTTAACTTGAAAAGACAACTGATGTTTATATTAGCTAAACTGGTTTTTGATATCGGCCATGATTATTTAAGTTTTTGCTGCATAACCAGGAGATATGAATGCCCACAAAACTTTTGGTAACCAAAAGTTAAAAAAGCTAGTAATAAAATTTTCAAATCTTTCAGCTGTCCTCTAGCATCTCATTCTAACAATAATAAATTGTTGGGTTACAATACAGTAAAACAAGTTTTATTGTGAAGGATCTTCTCATAGCTTTGCATTAACTGTTTGTCCGTGTGCACTGTTATTTTCTTTAAAATACTTTTCTATTTGCATAAATAATATGGCTGACGATATTTCAAATCATTTGGAAGATTTGTGTCCATAAAGTTAGGACATTATTTTTTATATAGTAGTCCTGTTTATCTCTTGGTTATTTAAATATTTACAGCAACCTAGCATGATGAAACTGAATAGCACAGACCGTTAGAATAAACTGTGGGGATGTTTGGACAATAAGGTATTTTTTGCTTATAAATTCTAGTGCCAAACTTTTAATGGAAAAGTATAAAATTGGTTGTATAATTGTGGCTAGTTGTTATTTCTAATCAGTTTTGTTGCCTCCAGTCAACATTTGTGGTAAACATTGTTACATTTCTATTGGTGCTTTCTACATTTTACTAATTTCATACCTGTTTGAAAGTTTTATCAATTTAGTATGATTGAAGTTGAACTTATAATACTATCACAGTGAACACCATCAATGTTACTTTCTATTAGCTTAAAATGATTTGGTGAATTTTCTTTTTTTTTATATAGATTAAAACTATTTTGAAATGTGCTAGATCAATATTTTTACACAAGTTTTTCAAAATTATTGTGATTAAAGTTTATTTTTTCTTAAAGGTAACTATTCGTGGAAGTTATGCAAATAATGATACTGTTATTAGCTATATTTTTTAATGTTGTAATTTAGACGTTAACTAGAGGGTGCATAATTAGATTGAAAAGTTTAAATGTAGGCCTAGAGAGCTCTAAAATTTTTGAAGTTTGGGTTTCTAAGTAAATTCAAAAAGTAGATTATAAATACAGGGTTCTGTGAAGCATCACAAAGATAGTTGTTTCTAATCAGTTTCTTTCGGTTAGCAGTGAATTAGTATTTAATTTTTAGTTACTTGATTGATCAGCCATTAAGTTTTATAAAATAAGTTTATTTTGTAGTTAGTCTAGTGCAGTTAGTACCACTGTCTTTGAGCTTTTAGAAAATGTTAAGGAAGAAATAAAATTATTTTTACATGGACTGGACTTCAGTTATTTTCTTGAGATAACTTAAAAGAACAGTGTTACACTGGTGCTACTATAGC